GAGCCCTGCTGTCCTGGGGATGGCTGAACACCCGCCTGCCGATGGGAAGGAGTGAATGAATGCCTTGTTTGCTTTGCTTGCGTGCACGGCTTTTGCTTTCCCTATTGAACTGTCTTTATCTCAACCCACGAGTTTTCTCACTTCTACGCTCCTGATTCTCTACCCCATCCCACCGGGGGAGAGTGAGCGAGCGGCTGGGTGGGGCTGAGCTGCTGGCTGGGGCTAAACCACAACACTTGGCCTGTCACTGTGGAGGATGATGCTCACCGAGAAAATCAGGAAAAGGCATTGTTCAGTGCACTGCTGATCTCAACTGAATGCATTTGTTTTGACTTTTATCAGTGTTTTGAGTATTTGACTAGCACTATATTTGATGTTTATTGTATCTCATAAAAAGGCACCACTGTCTTCTGGTCACTCAATTTGATTCTACAAACCAGTTCACATGAATGACGCAATGGACACAATCAGGCGTTTGTAGAGTCAAGTCTAAAACCAGGAATTACATGAGGTGAAGAATACCAATTTCAGAAACAGTATTTTTCCAATTCTTCTAGAGATAATATTCAGACTATTTATCACCACCAGCAGAAGGTAGATTTACATTACCAAATAAAAGTGAGATTGTGGACTCCACTTACACACCCGTACCATTTTAATGCACATGGCATAGGTAACTGCTGAAAGATGCAGAAATCTTGGCTTTAGCACCTACCAGCAACCAAAGCACAGTATCCCAACAGCCCCCAATGTGCAACTGTTCTGTTATTTTTCCTTGTGCCACTTAGATTAAGCCAATTTAGATATGACACAATGTGCTACCATAACCTATTCCATTTTGCTGTGTAGGCACAGGCATGTCAGGCAAACTTTAGTACAGTGAATCATTACCTTAACAGTCAACAGAAATGCAGCAGGCAACGACCAGAGGCGCTACACAGAGTGCACTGTAAGTACTGCTCAGAGTATGATTCTGTTCCTAAACCAGATTTAGAATGCGTACCTCTCAAGCCAAATAGTTCTAATAATAGAATATAGCAGCTTCTGGAAACATTAAAACTGCACCATCTCAGCTGTGTGAGCAGAGACAGCAAGTCCGACACCTCTGGGACATGTCCTGTTTTTTACTTTATCTATATCAACATTTTCAGGACATCAGCTTGCAAAAAAACCCCACTTTTAAACCAGCAGAAAGAGTTTCCTATAAATTTGATTAATGCAATGTGAAAGTTCAAACAAAAACAGTTACTCTCCAAACACTTGGAGTCTTTGTGGCAGTTAAATGAATTTACTCGCATAGCTAGGTTATCAGGACCTACGCTGTATTCCATATAATATAAATACAAAGTAAAAAGAAATCTTTCTCCTCCTGTATATCTTCTTCTACCTTTCTTCACTCCCACTTGGGAACCTAACAATCTGATTCCTTTAGCATCTTCTTCTCTATTTACTTAAAGGTCATAGAAGATTAGCCTATTTTCCATGTGAATTATTAATGCTGACCAAGAATGATTTTCATCGTAAGAAAGGAATGAAATTATGAGAGAAAATTAAAATACCCTCTATTTCTGAAAGGGGAATAAGAACTCACAAACATTAACTGAATAAGAAACAAACTGTTTTGTCTTTATCCAGTGACTATTCCAATGCACAAAATTTAACTCCATCAGCACACTGTAAATAATTTTGCAAAACTGGAATATGTAGTTGCCAAATAAATACAAGTGGGCGCATCTGTTTCTCAAGACTGTTAATCGTTGGCACCTCAACATCATGCCAAGGCAGGAAAATATTTTCTTGGAAAGAACAGAATAGAGTGACCTCATCTTTCAGACTCTGTATTTTTTTGGAACACTATCCTAGGTGCCCATTACAATCCAACAAGATCTTTAATAAGTATAGTGTCACTGAAAGGTTCAAACAACAGAAGGTAGAAACTTTCTACCGTAGTAGAAACTCTCCATTTCCACTGGCAACATCCAAATATTTAAGAATAGTTTTGAAATGACTGAGATTCTAAAAAAATTTAACAGATGCAAGAAAATGGAAAATGTCAAATTACGCTAGAAGCTTCCAAAAATTTCTTTTTCAGGATTATTTAGCATTGAATCATATATACAGAAAGAATACTTACAACGCATTAAGTAACATAATTGGTAGCAAAGCTATGTGACCCTAACAGACTGCACCACAAAATGTTGTAAGAGGTATCCTGGAAATTACTTTGAACAGGTAACACTTAGAACCAAAATCCTGACACCCACTAGTTCCTAAAAAAAAAACCCATCAGCTGGTGAAGTAATTATTATCTTTCATTCTCTGTCTTCTGCCTCTTGCCCCTTTCAGATTATTGATATGTACAAGTAAAACTGTACATCTAATATTTTCTCCTGCATCTCACTGCTTTCATCTCCATAATGATACACAATTTGCTAGCTAGCATGTACATGCCTGCTGCTGAACTTGCTAAATTAGCAGGCTTCTCCAAAAAGAGACTACAGCTCAACATCTGCTGTAATTACTACAGTAATCATCTGCTGCCTGTAAGATAACTAACAGGCAAACCACAGGGAGAGAGAGGTTTAGGAGAACGTCAGCTGAAGGCAATGAAAACTACCTACAACAAGACAACAGCCAGCTGTATATCAAATATCTCGTAAGGATAAAACACATTTTACACTATGAAAGGTAACAGCAAGGCACGTTGGTGCTTATGGCAATACATCCATTTGGTGCAATCTCTCAGAGTGGTGGGAGGCAAGAGTCTCCGGCTTTCCAGTTCCCACTGACCTCAGAACTCTGCCCCAGACAACATCTCCCTCCTCACTTCTGAATTAATAGATGGGTTAGGTGCCCGATTTTTCACTCTCTTTGTGCCGCACACTATACGTTACAGCTGTTTACAGATGTAACTAAGTATACAAAATCTTTGTATGAAACATGTACACACTCAAATATATGTCTTAAAATATCATGAAACTGAAATTAAAAAGTTGAGGCACAGAGACACAACAATTCTTGACTGAATCAAAAGTTTTTCACTTAGATACTACAAACCAGAGCAGACAGCACGGACAAAATTTTGTGATTTTTTGAACTTCCTACTAAGTTTTCAGAGACATTTATTGCTTTCAGGATAATGTCAGTGCAAACAACTACAATGACAGTTGCAGAGCAGAACGTGTGTCTACCACGAGAGAATCTGGGTCACAGCAGCAGTGCTCTAAAACATCACCCACATTATCTTGTGCCAGAAGAAACACTGAAAAGAGAACAGCCTAGCAAGTAGCTGGGAGGCCAAAAATATCCTAACTTGTATTTATTCAAAAAATATTTGCTCTTGGACATTATGCTTCGGCTCCTCTATCCCTAATTAAGGAGAGAATTTTGAAAGTAGTCTGTATTTTTCCTGTGTAATCACCACTGCCCTAATATGAATGAGATCTACGATAATGGCAGAGAAAACACCAGCTAATGATTTATTAAATATTTCAACATTTTATCCTTAAAAGGTTACCCAGAAAAATAATTTTGTTATGCTAAAGTTTATATTTACTTAAAAACTAGATAGTTTGAAATACAAAACAGAGTTCTCCTTATCAAGAAAATCACTTGTTTTACTCATTTGATGCCCCTTCAGCAGTATCAAGTTTTATTAAAATATAATTGCAAACTGCACATAAGCTGTTATAGTATAGAAAAGAATACATGTAGTTACCAGATTAGGAAGGGCGACGTAAATCTTGAAAGAACTCTAGGGTTATGATACTACTAAATCCATTGAAATCTGAAAAATATGATCCAACCTGCTGTGCATGTGTGTGTCGTGCTTCATGGAAGATTATTTGTAACATGTAAAAGCCTACAGACGGTATTATCCTCGCTCTAGTAACTAAACTGTGTCTCAGTGCCAAATTTTATAGCCTTAAAGAGGGGAAAAAAGAAACCATTTACAAGCCAACAATAAAACTGACAGTTTCCAGGTCTCCTAGCTACCAGTGTGGCCAATCAACATAGCGTAACATCCATAAAGTTCAATACAGATGCAGCTTTTTATACTTAATCTTTTATACTTATTATTTTTATACTTAATCAAGATTTGCAAACAGACAGCCACTAACGAGATTTGTAATGGAGTCTGAAGTCCACAACAGTTTTGTTAATAATATCATTAATTCACATGCTATATGGATATAGATACGAGTACTTTATCCAGACACCACGAGCACATAAGCAGATAAATTTAAGTGAACTCTATCTTAAAACAGACATTTAAATAACTGCAATAACAGATTTTTGCAAATAAGTCAAATGACAAAAAATGAACAAGCATGTAGGCATATACACATACACCCCCTACATATGCATGCGTAACAGCTCTTAAAAATAATCCTTAGAAATATTTCATATGGCTCAGACTCAGGATAACTTTTCCTACCATTAACTCTCGATAGGTTTAAGAATCTTACTAGGGACACCAACAGGCTACTTTTTCACCCAGGAGACAGGAGTTTTATAGCAGATTTGAAAACTTGGATGGAAAAAAGAAACCTGCTGTGCTTCATCTTGGGGAGAGGGAGTGACAGCCACCGACGACATTTGGCATTTTCCATGCCTGAGGAACCTTACATTTACATATAGTCGGAAAAGCCTGAAACTGAATTTTGACCACAGGCCACAACGCTAACCTATGAAAGCCTCTTTCAAAGTCATTAAGTTTGCCCTCCATTTAAAGGATGGAGGCTAGGATGGAATTGGCAAAGTAGTTTTTTCTACACTTAGACTACAGCAGTGTTAGCTTTCCACGTTGATTTATAAACACACAAAAAAAATCCAAGATTGGTATTTTGGCTCCATTGTAGTGACCTGTACCAGGAATCTACAGCCTGGCAAAATGAACTTTAAAAGGCCAAACAAAGCAAAGGTCTAACATCTTTCCAAAGAAAATCTTTTAGAAAGAAAGAAAGAAAAAAGGAGGAGGAAAAGTACAGCACACTCACCAGGCGTGTATTAACAACAGGAAACAGCAGTGCCAAGAGGGCCCCATTCAGCATATGCATCTGCAACCTTAGAAAAGAGATGTGATACTATTTTCACAGATGGAAATAAAACGCAATATTTTATGTAGTATCTCTTCAATAAAAGGTAGCAAGAGATTGAAGAAAATTCTTTTGGCTTGAGTTTGAATAAAGCCGCTGTTAAATGCAATAACCAGATACTGTTAAATGCAATAACCAGGACAAAAACCTCCCTTTAAATACACATTTAAATAATTTCCTGAAGTAGGACTGCTTTCTATAATGAGCTTTGGATTCCTAGAAAGCCTGGACTGCCCGTTTGTGTTAATCCCGTTCACGATGCAAGCTGCTAAATAGTTGGAATTCTGCTGTTCATTTGTCTTTCAGAGCTTAAAATAGCATATTTGATAAAGGTTTTTACTCCTGTCTAACTCTATAAACGTACAGCTTCAAAGTAAAGCTTCGTGAATTTGGAAGAAGTCCCTTAAAAAAAGAAGAATTACATTTGTCAAAATGCAACAGCAAGTCCTAAGCAAAGAATAAGGCAGGAAAGTAGTATTATAATACTGTATTTTGCATAGCTTTCAGCCACCTTCTTCTGAACCACTGTTGCGTCACAAGAACACAAAAATAGTATCAGTACTGTTTCAGTCTACTTTACATAAGACACAAAGTAGAGAATAAACTGTCTACAACCACTGCCTGTCATAAACTGTTAGGAATTTAAAAGTAACTTGAGGGGGAAAAAGGCATTACAATTTCAAAACAGTTTTTCAAACGTAATTTATGTGCTGTCAGGGTGTGAGAAAACAGAAAGGCTCATCTGAAAAACAACAAATATTGTGGCCTCCACTCTGCAACCAGTCTTTTGCAAATGCATAGCAAATGCAGGATTTCCTGGACACCAGACATACTTTTCACACTCTCCGAGATGGAGACGCTAACACAGTATCTCTGTATTCAGCCTACTCCCTGCCCAAGCAAGGAACAGCGGGAAAAAGTTGCAGACAGACAGTAGCGGTTCCAAAATAATTCATGAGGCATGCTCCCAGCATCATTTTTCCGGTCGCTGCCTAGACTAAGACAAGAAAGAGCTGAGTTAACCGTCAGGGCGGCAACTACAGCCATTCCTGGTTACCATTCTGCCGGGGAAGTCCCGTGACCCTCTCCACGCTCCTTAGCTGCTTACTGGCCTCTACTGCAGGAGTCCGTTAGAGCTTCCTGCACATTAGAAGCTCCTGCTGTTCCTAAAGTTAGTAACAATACACGGTATTTTAGAAAAGATTGCATCGGTTTGAGAAATACCCGTCAGCAAGAATTTGCTTTCACTATTTGACTTACAGCCACAATTTTAAAACTAGACCCATACTGTATGTATGGCCTTCAGTGAAGCCCAGTTGCTAATTTTTAGTGAGGATAATAAAAAGGTACAAGGCACATGACATAAATTCCACAAGCCCATACGTTAATCTGTAGGAAGATGCTTGCACAGTAACATCATCTGTTACTGAGCGAATTCATGTTGCTAAGCGAGGCCAAAACCACCAGTACAAAAGAACCAAGGGTATGTGGCTCAACACCTACGATTTAGGCCCTGACCCTTTTCAAGGTGTCACTTTTCAGTCCAACCAATATGCCTTTCCAACTGGATATATATTTTAATATTTTATGACTTAAGCTGTGATTAACTTCGAAAATACATTATGCGAGTAGACAGAAAGATAGTAAGGAAGAGGCATTACCTGAAGAGAATCATTGCAATCCGACAGGGAGGACAGGCAAGAAGAAAAATCTGAAATGTTAGAAACAAATTTAAATTAATGATATGATCTCTTTTAGACTCCATTTTCTATATCTTTCTTTCCCAGTTCTGTACGTCACAAATAATTTCTAACCAGAAAAACTGTTTTATAGCAGAGCTAGAAAAGACTAAAAGTCTTGAACACACTAAAAGGTCTCACATTACCTATATATAAAAGGATTTAAGCAGTATGAGCAGCATCTAGGGTTCGGCTTCTGCCAGTGCCTAAGAAACAAGTCAGATTCTAGCCTATTTGATATTGTCATTATAAAAGGTCTCTCATGAAGCTGATTACTGTATTACCAATCATTTTACTACAGCAGCTCCCTTAGCCCTCAATCATGGTAAGGTCCTTGCTGTGCTAAAGACCCAGCATTTACAATGACAATACTTCACTTGAGCAGTGCGGGACCCAGCTCTTGAAGATCTCATGTGAGATGGCTGTCTGAAAAAGCCTCTTAATACTTCCCAAAATAAGGCTACCACAGTATCTGCTCTATGCATAAGCTTAGTAGTCATCTTCGAATATGTCCACTGCCACACTCAATAAAGTATTTTTAAAGTACTGTAAAAATTTCATCAATTATTACCTAGCTGTTTCACAAGACCGAAAGTAACTGAATACAGTTGGAGCAGCACGCTTGTTTTTCTTTACAGGCCATGCTCCTACCATAAATAGGACCTGATTTAAATTTTTATGTAATGAAGTACTTAAAATACTTCGTATCAGCAAGTCTTACTCTAGATACGAAGAGATTACTACATAAGTGTTCCGTGATAAAAATCCTATTTTTTTATATTGACCACTACTGCAAAGAAGAGACTTTTGCCTATTGTTTGATAAAAAGTATTTCAGAAAAAAATGGATCACGCTTTTTACTGCCGTTGCTAAAATAAATTCACAATAGATTATTTCACTGCCAACCTACAAAACAAATTATCATTAAATCACTTCAAGTGAGAACATTTGGACAATACGTTTGCTTCGTGGACAAGTCAGATGAGACAATTCACCAAACGTGTGTCCTCTGATGTATATTCAAACCAATTACTACCAGATCACGTACGTGCTGCAGCAACAGTAGAAATGTTGAAACCCGGATCATACTACTGAGCCCTTGTGTATAAAAGGGGCTTGCTGTCACTACCATACAAATGACTGTACAAATTCAAAATATTTTATTTCCGGTGCAAGTTCTTAATATACAGCCATTTATTTCTCTGATCCACTTACTTGTATGTTCAATTCAAGTCAGTCTCAATAACAGTTTAGAACATGCACACACACAAATTGCTTTTCCTAAGTCATACAGAACTCTAATAAAGGCACAGCAAGAAAGAGGCAGCAATTGAATTTAACTGAATGTACCCCAAATCATTTTAATAGTGAATACTGTTAAAATCCAACCAGAGTTTCTCTTAAGTCTTGTATTTAAAAAGCAAGTAATTTCAACTAATCAGGGCAGGTGAAAGAGGAAGAGAACATAACAGACGCATGATGACAATCCACTAATGGATGCTTTTTTGTGCTAAGGAAAAAAAAAAAAGAAAAAAGTATATGCCAGAAAAATCTTATGAGAGGTCTATATATCACCTTGCACATAAGACCCATATGGCTTCTGGGAAGTGTCGAACACTTACTATGCTTTGCTATTCCATCACTGCATATTTTTGCAATAAACTTTGTTTACTAACTGAAGTTCCTTGAATTGTGGACTATATTTTCCCTTCTTTGGAGACCATAAATATCTTCTGCAGGTCTCTTATAATAACTATTTTTTTCCCATGCTACTTGCATGCATTAGTCAAACTTTTTAAACATTCCATGTTGTATGTTAGCAAAAGGAGATATGATATTTAGAGTCTCACTAGTTCATCCAGAGTTTTAAACTCAGATTATTTTACAATTTCCTTAAATTCAGAAATCTGACAGAAGAGACGTTACTTTAGAAGCACAGTTCATACCTTCACGAAAGAAACTGTGCTTTTCCAATATAGATTTTTTTCTTTTTATTTCCTACATCTTAAAAAGAAAAAACAGGTTGCCCTTTTTCTCTATATGCACACAATAATCAAACCATAAATGTGTCTTAATCACACCAGTCATTTCTTTTTCTGACACACTGCAGAGTGCTCCAACTACCACACGGTAGAGCAAAAACTAAAATACAAGTCTGTATACTGTCTGAACCTCACCACTGAGGATAAAAAATAGCTAGTATTAAAAAAGGATGGCATTGTTACAAAGACTGAGATGGACACACCAATCTAAAATACTTCACTACCACGGAGACAGGCAAAGAAGAGAACAAGATTCACAGCTGCTTATTTTTACGTCAACTCTACTGCAAGAAACAGTTTCAGGGACTGATGAGGAAAAAATAAATATTTAATATTTTTAAGCATGCAAGTCCCTCTGTTATGGGGGATCTTTCAGAAAATAAGTCTGACTTCCATTCTTTATGACAGCAGAGGAATCATAACTAGAATGTTTATGTTAAAATTTTACGATAATGGAAGTGATCTTCAAATGTTTCAGCTTTAGCAGTTTAATATCAAGCACTTTCTCTCTAAATATGGATATACTTTCTGTGATAAATAAGCCTCAGCTTCTTTAAAGGGATGTTTTACAAGACACCCTTGTACCTGATTTTCAAAGAACTATATCACTGAGTAGATTCAAACATTATAAAGTGTCATCATTCAGCTCAGAGTAATTAGCAGTCTTAAAATACCTAATTCACAGCAGACAAGCTCACAGCCTCTACCACAAGTGTTCACATACTTATCCCATAATCATATTACATTTCACTGTCATACTGGAAATAAAATCCTTTGCCTTGCAGGAGGAAACAGCTATGTTTCATAAACCAAACAACATCATATTAAATTAGCGGCCTGGCAGTGAAGAGTTCCCAGCCTCTGTTCTCCTGCTGGAACTCTCAAGGTTTTACGCGCTCAGGCTAGCACAGACGCTAGCCCCCCTTCGCTGGCACATTGCAGAGTTCGGGTGCAAACAGGGCAGCATACATCTGAAAGCTCACTGAAGCAGGCTTCTCCTTCTTCAAGGCAGAATAACTAAACTTTCAACTTAGAAGAAACACTAAGAAACAACTTCAATGTCCCCCCTTATTCTGTCAGATCTGTTACCTGCTACATTTTCACGTTACAAACAAAAAGAAGGATAAAAGAATTAACCAGAAATCCAAAATGTACAGAAGTAACTATTTCGGGAGGGAAAAATAAGCTATAAAATAGACATTGTCTGATAGGCTGAATTCTGGGCACAGTTCTGATCATTCCCTTCTCCTTTAACCTCTCTCTCTCTCTCTCTCAAAAAAAGGCAGATTTAGAAAATGATTAGGGGGGTCAACAAGAATGATCAAAAAGCATAGACCATCTTCCATACATGGATTGATTTAACACATTAAGATTCTTCAATCTGTTAAAAGACTACAGGCTAATGAGAGTGAGAGAAAGAGAGGGTACAAAATCACGAGTGGCCTTGAGGAAATGTAGAGGTAACAAGTCCTAGGTGGGGACAATATTGTGTGTCAGGATGTCTGAGTCTTTTTCACCAGCACAGGACCAGAAGATTCTACAGTTGTCCTCAGGCAATAAACTGCAAAGAAACTCCTAACACTGCTCAATCCGCAAACTGAAGTTCACTTCAACCTTGAGGACCCAGATGAAAATAGAAGTCAGAAATTCTGTCAATCTACTTCATAACTGCTCTGCAAGACCATAAATATCATTGTCCATCCCCATGGGAAATATTTCTGGCATGAAGAACTGCATGGCCAGCACTTCCCTGCGTAAGCCCAAATACAAAGGTCACACCACAACACATGATGGATCAGCAGGGCTGTTATAATTTGGAGACTGTAATGTACAGGATTGCACTGCTGAACTATTTCTTCACGGAGACAAGATCTTAAAGAGACTGAACTCATGGTTGCTCTGACCTAACCCAGGACTGGGCTGTAAATCAGCCTCTTCCACATTCCCTTCTTCCAACCATGCACTTAGAAGAGAAAGCTCCAAATGGTATCTATAGGTCTGGGACAGGCTGGAAGGCAGAAGGAAAAGGATGGCATTTTCCCACCTGTAGTAATATGTTTTTAAAAATTTTTCTAAAGGAAACGTGCAACCCTGTCATTCAGTATTTGATGGAGCTCACAAGAAATACCTTTTGAGTTCAGTAAACTTCGGAGATCATTATTTCCTTAAATCTGATTGTATTACTCATTTGTGTCAGTGTAGCAGGTAGAAGAGCCTGTATGTAAAGGGACTCTTCTGAAGACAGTAAGAAGGTAACGTTGCATTAGTTTATTCAGAAAACTTCTTTGATCACAAACAGGATCATGTGAAAGACCACAAATCTGTACAGTGTTATTTTATTTTTTAATAATATTAATATTTTTTAATCTTTTGATCTAGGAAGATGTGACCTTGAGAAAAATGGTTATAGATAAACTGTTCTCTTTAAGAAGTTAATAGAGCAAAGTCTATTAGGATCCACACCACTGTTAAGGGAGGTCAACAGGAGGTTTCTTTCCCTGCTACATCAACCCTCACTGCCCATATAAAAAGCAGAGAGAGATAAAACGCGGTCTTTATTATTCCCATGGTATTGCGTGAGAGGTGGCATTCTGTAGGGCTTCAACAGTACTTGCAATTCTTCGTTTGCCAACTAATCCAAAAATAATACTTTCAGACTATGCATTCCCTTCCTTTAGGTTTCCTGGCAGGATGAACAAGATAGCAATAGCTATATATCACAAAGTATTACACTGGCCCTCCATGAATCCCTGCTAAGTTCGCTCCCTTTTTAATCACTAAAAGAAAGTGTAGTCAAACAAGGGAAATGTTACTGTCAAAAAGGAAGTGGGTAGCTGGGAAAAAACGGATCACTTTTCATAAATTCATTTTTAGAAGTCAGAATTTACAAAAAAAAATTACTCCTTGACATTGCAATAGTGTCTCAAGGT